GCTGATATTGCATTCCATTCTATTTAGAAAGAACACACACACTTTCTTGTTCACAGAATTCAAGGCTCCTGCTCGATCGGCCATTTTATTTTTTTAGTAATATGCTCAACTTAAAAATAGATTAAATTTCTCATGGTCTCTGAGTTTTTGGCATTCCCCATGAACAGGATGAACATCAAAATCAGGGATGAGCTGGGCCGAGATGCAGTTCGCCACCGGTAGCATCAACTCAATGTACTGTGAACAAAAATACTGAATAATTACTTTCTTAAAAAAGAAAAAAGAAAAATACTATGCCTCAAGTTTTTTTCCAGCATGTGCTCTTCAGAAGAAATTCTTGCATGATAAGAATAATGATTCCTGTAATAATTAACAGCTTCACAATAACGTTCTTAATCAGATCACGGCTGTTCAGACGTTTAACTTCATTGTAGTGTTTAGATATGGGTCTAAATGAATTGCCAAGAATTTCTTGACAACTGAAAAATTAAACTCATGAGACCTTTTACAAGGTTTTTATTTTGGCTCCCCTAAGGCTTCTCAATAATTAACTTTCTTTTCAGATGATCAAGATGAGCTTTATGCAAGACCAGTTATCTATTTGGGATTTTAAAGGGCAAATACTTTTGTTGTCAGCAGTTCTAAAAGATCATGATTTAGTAAATATGCATTGAATTATTTACAATTTCACCATGATAAGGACTGATCGGATCCATTTACCTATCATGTCCTGCATAAGAACAGTAGAAACAAACACCACCGCTCAGTTCTTTCAGCCCATCGTCTCCAGAATGGTAAAGTCTGATACCAGACTGGTAAAGGCCAACAGGAAATTTGGGGTAAGACTGCTAATCTTTTTGAGAAATTCCCTGGAATTTTAATTGATCACAGAGAGTCAGGACCTGTGTTTTATGTCTCATCCAAAGGATGCACCTTTTTGACAGTATAGTGTCCCTGTCACTATGTGTTGGTCCTAATGCTCCAGTAGATCAGAGGGTGAGCACTTCCTACTGGTCCCACTAACACCTCTCCCAGCATTGGAGTTCTCAGGAGTGGTGTTGGAGGCCCTTGTTTGGTCACAATAGATACAATAGATACATTCTCATTGCTACAATGATTTTATAACCTAACCCATTCAAAGGACTTTCTCTGTTCTGCATCGGTACTCTAGTGTTATGTTATACCATAATATACCATATTATTCCATAAGATCTTGAAGCCAGGAAAAAAAATCTGTTAGCCCTCTATATTTGTATAACACCTGAAGAAGGCTCCACAGCCGAAACGTTGTGTTTTCTTTCTTCTCTTTTCAGCATGGAATAAACCTATTACTTGTTCCTTAGCAGCCTACGCATGCTGACGCTGCTACCCACCTGAACCTCTATATTTGTAGGCTTGTTTCGTCATTATAAGAATTTGACCCAACTACTGAAGTATACTGTACAAGACTCCCTTTCACATACCCTGAGATAAGAGGCCATGTTTACTGAGTGTGCCATTTGATGATAACCACAGTGGGAGAAAACTCCCATGCATTCCTGTACACACTGCACATGGCCAAAAGTGCACTGAAGTTTTCTAACCTCTCCTAAAATGGTTCAACTTTTCCCCGCACCTAAACAATACTTTTACCACTGCTACAGACACAAAAGTGATTAAATGTGCAAAACATACAGACACAAATCTGCGGTGGCCAAGTCTCTGCTCTGTAACATTGTGTCACCGAGACTGTGCAGCTGAGAGATGGTGTGAACTAAATCTTCCAGGAGGCTATGGGAAATATGGGAATGCCTCCCCCGTTTTATTAGGCACTGGTGATAAGTAAAGCCTGTGAGTAGATCTAAGGTTGTGGCAAACAAGCAAATTGTGAACTGCTTTTTTATGAACAGGCTTTGGTAGTTTATTATAAACTGTAACAGACATGGATCAATATTATATGAAGCAGATGCACCACCAACATTTCTTAATACCCAAATGGCCACAACTGCAATCATCACTACGTGATTGTGTGACTAAATTGGGGTCTACATATTAGGGGGTGTGGCTCATAGCAATTGTCTTTGCCAACTGCCTGGGGGTACCCCACATCCACCACAGGAAACCTGCACTGTCACAATTGTAATCCTTCCTCTTAAGGGCACTCCAGCTCTTTCACATTTTAGTTAATTATGTGCACCTGCCTCCAATCCAATAAATCCAAGCCAGACGCTCACTCTATTCCGGACTCTGCATTGGAAGCAGGACGCCTATCGTCGTCCTGACCCAGGTTCAGAGCACCTGGCCTCATCACCCCCGTTTTTATTGTCCGTCCCTGCACTGGATACCACTCCGGTTTTTAAACCTTGTCTTATCTTTGTCTCGTTTGGATTACCCAGCTCTGGACATTTGGACTTCACCCTTTATTACCCCCTGAACACCTGTGGACTTGTTTGTCCTGGCCACGCCCCCCGAGCACAAGCGCAACGTCGAGACGCCCCCCTGTTCGTCTACCAGCCCAGTTCCTTGTCGTCTCCTCCCCGTGTCTGTTTCACTCCCTTCTGGATTCTGTTGTCTGCATAGGGCCCTGATTGACGCTTCATAAAACGCACAGTACTGTATGTCTTATGGTTTTGTCCACCACTGTAATAATCATATACAGTGTATATACACATACAATGTTATCTTACAGATTTCTACACTTCACTTATCAGAGACCAGCACACTGAACTGTACATTGCTCAGGATCTAAAGATTATGCAAAAGCATGCTTTGTCTGTTTAGGTGTTAATTACATATAATCACCATTTAAAATCTAGATATTCATTTTACAGGGTTTGAAAGAAATAATGGATATCACTTATTCTGCATTCAGCCCCTGTGAAAGATGGAGTTGTACTGTATCTTGATCTTCATAGCAATAGGTGTGCCATAAATTGAATTCTAGGGATAGATGGTATCAGAACATTTCCTGCTTGGTTGTAGCAAAAGCAGAGAAAGTACGAGCACATTACAACAACAAAGAGAAACACAAAACAGTGCCAGATGAGAGGAAGTACATGACTGAAACTAAAAGGTGGTGTGGATAAACACGACGGAATGTGTGGTTTGATCTGTGTATTCGAAAACCCATTGAAAATTTTCAATTTATTATACTGAAACATTACAGGAGCGACTGAAGTTTTTTTTTTCCATATTCAGCAGAGAAGCTGCAGATATTTTTAACATCCAACACAAGTCATAAACCATTAGGGAGAAATCGCAACATACATCATAAAATTTGATAAGTCACACAAATGCCTAACACTTCTTGACCAATTACTTTACAGGAGACAAAAACAAAATTTCATTAACTGTAGCATCTCTTATCACAGACTCACCAGTTATTTTCAGAGTCACCAGCCTTGTTCTTACATCTCGGGTAACATAAGTAGAACATGATGTATTCCAAACAAAGTTTTAACTCTCCCCATGTACTTTGAGAAGGCAAGAACAGGGCCAAACTGCGACTGCTGTGCAGAACCAATAACGTGCCGTGACATCTCGGGTCAAGTAAATGAACACAGCAGGAGCTCCACACCTACAAAGGGGAAAGTGTGGATGTTCTGGCCGGCGCCCCCAACCTACCCTCCCCTCCAACACGCAACAAGACCCGCTGCAACGTACAAGGGGGTCCTGCAAAGAATAGAGCACGGACACGTCCCTCACCAATGTTAGCCTGAACATACCAACAGCCTTGCCGCTAGCAGTGCTGAACCAGGTGTTGCAGCGCCGTAATTCACAGAGCACTGTCTGGACCCTGTTACAATTGACACAATTTCAAGAAAAATGCAGCTGATGTAATGCCTCTTCGCAATTTCCAGGTCTCGGAACGTTTCTCCACGCTCAGCCAAGCTCACGAGTTACGTTTAGCCTCTGTTAATTGTCAGAGGTGTAGAGAACAGAAAGAAAGCAGAGATAAAGAACTCAGCTCCAGGTGGCTGTCTGGGAACATCAGATGAAAACCACTCATGATGATATACTGTAAAATGGAGTCCAGAAGGCTTCCTTGGTTTTATTAAGGTGATAAACCTAAATCTACTTCACTTCTCACTAAACTACTACCCACACTTCTGGTCTACACTTGTTCCAGTACACTACAGCAGATCTGTTGAGAAATGTGAACATTTCACATTCTGTACAATTCATGAACTACTGAACTAGACCAACACTGGACCGACGAGATCGGCAATCAAACCACATGGGATTGATTTACAGTACAATCCCACCAAGCCTGGACATTTCTGCTTTGGCGGCCTCTGCTGTTGCCCCATCGTCACTGCGCCTGCCCCCGGCCCCACATTTCCTGGGGGCAATTCACCCCAAGTAACCCTTGGTTTTTTAAAAGTATCAAAAAGAAAATGAATTCAAACTTGCTCAGTATTATCACAAGCACTGAACTCTGATTCTAGAAGAAAATGATTCTGATTCAGAAAAACATTCAAGAGCCCAAAAGGTTTGAGGTATCAAATCCCAGGACTATAGACTGTACTGTAAAATCTGCGTCAGCATAATCCCACCTGATTAAGAGTGCTGACAATAAAAGGTAACTATAAGGCACTTAGGATGAAAGGGTCAGCCAACCACATTAAGAATTATGAAAGAAAACAGTAAAATGTAAAATGGCATTCTTGCAAGGTACTGTATGAGACACAGTGGGATTTTATTCTGGGAATTCCCAAACTAAAAAAAAACCCAGTAAGGGAAATAATTGATAAAGGGAAAGACTGTACCACGGAGGAGCCTATTCAGACTTACAGTGCTATTATTTGCCTCACCTTTGAGAATAGACAAACATCTAGCCCCCTGGCAATCTGTACTGGTGGCACTGCAAAGACAGCCAGCACAGACATTAATTTGGATTGCTCAGTCAGTCCTAGCAAAGCGGAATTATAATTACTTTGTCTAAAAACGCTGGTAGCCTCGGCTGAAAGGACAAAGGCTGAAGCGGAGCCAGAGATGTGAGGAGTTATTTCCTGTAAACCACATGAGAGAAAGAGGAGGTCTTATAAAGCAGCAGTGCACTGTTAAAGGAGGGCAGAACAGGAGAAGCTCCTTGTGCGCAGCCAGTAAAAAGACAGTCCTAGCCCATTGAACACAGAGGGACCCCCCCCCACCCCATACAAAACTTCCATCAACTCCAGGCTGGGAATTTCAACAGAGTCCCGAATTTTCTGAAGAAAATCAAAGATCTAGAGAAGCAAAGAGGAAACAAAACCTGCTCCAATGCATCAAACAGTGGACTTTGCTCTTTTCTATTTGTATAGGTGAGCCAGATGACCTCATACAAACCAGCCCACACTTTGTGCAAAGCCAAGGTAAGGAAAACGTGCTCATTTTCTGCTTCTCACTTTCTAATGGTTTTAAAAAAAAACTGAAGAGGAAGATTCATGTCCTGATTTTTAGCTCAGTGCTATAAGAGGACCGATTATGTTTTTCCCCCCAGTTTGCTGCTGCTGGTCTTTTTAATAGAATGCAATTGCTGCCTCTTGATGTGTTCAGGTATATAATGGCAAAGAAACAAAACCGGTAATAACAGCAAATGTGTCATTTACTCTTCTGGGCCATACACTATTGCTGTCGCAAATTTTATTGTCAATGCTGATAAAAGCTACAGAAATTGCTGTTGTATGGATTGAAATTAGATCATGAAAAGTCACCGTTTTTCTCTAGGTCCAAGCAAAGGTAATCAAAATAAATCTAATCAATGTTACTCAACAAGGTTCAATAGAGCTGTTAAGAGAAAATGAAAAATGCACGTCTCATGAGGAATGGGTATCATACAGACAGAATAATCAACAGGTTCAAAGCTACGCTTTCTTGCTTTAAAAGAAACTGCACCATATTCCCTAATATTCCACAGCTTTAACCGTGTCGCAGCCTTCTCACACCGCTGTTTTTTTACATTAGCTACATTAAAGAGCGGCGAAAGTGAGAAGCAATCTGACTGAAATTACAGCAGACGCAACAGTTAGATAACAGAGGGAATGTGTCAAAATTCATCCAGCAAGGCGTGGTCGACAGGTTGTTACATATCCCAATTCCAAATTTACCATGGTTCACAAAAAAAAAAAGTGCAAGGCATCTGTTCCTAATAGTTCAGCTATCGGAATGCACATACAATGCTTTACTTTATCTCGCTAGGATCTTAACTTTTTTCTCTTGGTATACCACAATCGACAAAAATTCTAAAGGGAAAAAATGTGCAATATTATACCCATATAATTATTTGTTGTTAAAGTATCTGAGTATTCAGTGAAGACCATCCTTAGCAGAAGGCACTTGAGATTTGGTAGGTTTTTTTTGGAAAGCTGCTTAAACAAGCATGTCTTTGGTAAAAAGGTGTTAGTTATATCAACCATGCCAAACAGCCCTCAGGTGTCAAATACGGCTACAAGTATTGCAGGGAGAAAGTTACAAAATAACATATGTTTCAATGCATCACGGCAGAAAGATTCACAGACCGAAATTACTTCCAGATCTTCAACTATCTATTGCCTCTAAAGATAGGCAATATGAGCACAGGCCATGTTTTTTACAAATTTAGGGGTTATAAGATAATTAGGGGTTATAATGGATAAGCGCCAAGCTTTCCATTTTCAAATCACTGAACTGCAGCAGATGACAGCAGTATGGCTCAGCTTTAAAACCACAATATGACCGTGGCTTTAAACCTAAGGTATGCATTTCAGAAATGCGCAACATTGTACTCAAGTTCAAATGTAGGTAACAAGACAAATGATGTGTCTAAAACTGCAATTTGTCTACTTCATTTTTGTCTAGATTTAAACAGGTAACAAAGTGCTGAAATATTCCTCAATTATTTTTATGATTCTTACAATTCTTATCTCGTAAGATTCATTAGGAGTAATCCTTTAGAGTGTCATTTTTCTGCTAAATTTAGATAAAGTTTAAAGGGCCTAGGAATACTGGGAAGTATCAGTCTGTTATTTAGGTGGTAAATGCAGTACTAGTAATAGTAGATAAGGTATTAATTTGTACTTGCAGTATGTTAACTCAATATTGCTGCTTTTTGAAATGTCACAATAGCTAAAATGAAACTTCAGGATGTCATCATTTAGACTAACATATCCACTATATTCAATCAGATTTGTTTACATTCAATAAATATAAAGTAGTGTCTGCAAGAGAGAGAAACGAAAATGCTTCCTATTAACAATCCCGTCAAAATGCTCAAGCAGTTGCTGCAGACAGGATGCAATTAACCACACAAATCATCGCCCTCTCCAAAAAAGGGCAAAAAGTAAACAACTGCCATGAGGAGCATTTTAATAGCTGCAAAAGTCCACGTCTTAAATGTGGAATAACGCAAGAGATGGAATGTGGTCCAATGCATAAAGGACACAATTTGAAATCCACAATGTCAAAGAGTCTCTAAAGAAATGGGACCCAGCTCCCAGAATGCCTCTCATCCCCTTGCCAGCCTTGAGCAGTCATTACAATCACCTGGCTATGAGGAGTGACAGGTCTAATATAGCCAGACAAATCACCCTCACCTATACACAATGTCTCCCAGGACCCCTGCAGTGTGCAGATAGCTTACTACCATTGCATATATTAGGTAACAATTGATACAAACCCATCTTCCAATGCAAGAAGCTGCAAAAATGTGTTCTTGACCTACTTGAGTTACTTGATTCAATAATTCCAATTAAAATAGGAAAAATAGCAATTGCAAAATAGGACCTGAACATGAACATTCTAAGCCATTTTTGGATAGAACAGTAGACTTTAAAATAATCTTATTGAAAGATCTTGAAAAATAAGTACTGTATATCGCTCTGACGTAAAAAAAAAAACTGCCACAAAGATAGAGACTGTAAGAGAAGCTATTAATAATCAAACAATTTTAGACAGAGTCAAAGGGAAACTAAAAAATATTGGTGCAGGGCATCTTACTTATTACCAAACCATAGACAACTAATATAGAATTCTATAATAGAATATGGAGTCCTTCACATGACCTTCAAAATTCTTCTGTTGTACCACATCATCTACATCCAGCAGGAGGCTATGCAATCTCACGGATAAAAGGAATTTCTAGCAGGAGGTCCCCAGTTCCAGCTACACACAGGCACTGACTCTCCCTCCATCATGCTAAACAAGTTACAGAAGACCACTGTGCTTCTCTCTCTCCCAGCAGTCACTCTGCAGGGGCAGCTGCAGACGCCCTGGCCTGATCAGTATAAATAATTGTTATGCTCGTGATTTGTTACACGGGTTAACCGCAAAAGTGCAATGAAATAAGGACTTCAGATTCTAAAAACATTTTCTTAAATTGGTTCTGCGACAAAAGCCAGCTCTCCTCCTTCCAAATGCAGGTGAAACACACATGAATGTTCTGTAGACCACTTTAAACAGTCATTAAAATATTAAACCCAGTGGAAATCATCAGAATATGCGTATCTGAGTAAGTGTATCTGAAATCGAAAACAGACGCACTTTTTTACACAGAAGGTTGCGGGAACGTGGGACAAGGTACCCAGCCATGTTGTTAAAGCCAATACCCTGGCTGGGTACCAATATCCTTTATTTGTATTCTAATTGAATACAGTGTAGTAGCTTCTTTATTAAACTTACTGTATGGCACATTTGGTGTATTTTGCACATTTCTCTCTCCTAATGTAGTTTTGGATAAATTGATGAGTGCAGTGAAAGCAACTAGTTTCTTAGGGAATGAAATTAGCATTGCACCTCATTGCACTTAAGTAAATATATCACTGATGAATGCCCAATGACACCTGATTGGATAAGCTCCTTTTGTATGGAATATTTAAGAGTACAAAAACCAGATAATGGACATGCCTGCAGTAAAATGAGAAAAAGGAAACTGACTGCTAAAGAAATGTTATTCCATTTGAGATTACGATGACTAGATAGTCTTAACAAATTAAAATATATGATTATACCTCAGACAGCTCCCGGTACTGCAACTAATATAATTTTCACCGCTACAAGACAATGTATGTGTAACAGTGGATATCAGATGTACATATCTCAAAAACCACTGACAAAGAAGATCATCATAAGGATAGATTAAGTTAATTGTGCAAAATCCACCAGCAAAAGCCATAAACTAAATATTTTATTAAATTAACTGGATCTGTTACTGATTGCTGATCATGGGTACGGTATTAAATATTTCACATTTTTCTCATTTGAATTCTACAATTTCTATTCCAAATCACAACTAGTGCAACTTCTGCCACTACTGTTGGATCAATAGAAGGCAAAGTTGAAAGCAAGAGGTGTTGTCAGCATGTAAAACAGATACCTAATCTAAAACCCAGATTGCTTCATTCTCTGGTAAACCTGAGTTTATTGGACGTTTTAATAATAAGCTTACACTTATATAGAGCTTTTCTGGACACTCCACTCAAAGCACTTTACAGTCAACCACCACCAATGTGCAGCTCCACCTGGATGATGCGACGGCATCCATAGTGCGCCAGAACGCTCACCACACACCAGCTATCAGTGGGGAGGAGAGCAGAGTGATGTAGCCAATTCATAGAGGGGGATTATTAGGAGGCCACGATTGGTAAGGGCCAATGGGAAATTTGGCCAGGACATCAGGGTTACACCCCTACTCTTTTCGAGAAACACCCTGGGATTTTTAAGGACCAGAGAGTCAGGACCTCGGTTTTACATCTCATCAGAAGGACAGCACCAGTTTACAGTATAGTGTCCCCATCAGCACCCCCTGCTGGCCCCACTAACACCTTAGTTTTTCCCAGGAGGTCTCCCATCCAGGTACTGACCAGGCTCCCTCCGGCTTAGCTTCAGTGGGTTGCCAATTGTGACTTGCAGGGTGATATGGCTGCTGGCTTCAAGACATGCAACACTGTGTGAAACATCAAATTAGTGTGTTAATTGAGATAACTTTCTGACTAATACTGTAGATGGTGTCAGAAAACTGTGAGCTTATTCTTCTTACTCTTCTTGCATTACTGACAATCCTGGCATATCCTGCTGTGCACTGTAGATCATTAACAGCGAAACAGACCTCTGGGTCCACAGCTGCCAGTCAAATGCAATGTTTGCAATGACCAACAAACAAATAGCACAACTACTCCCGCCCCAGAGGGTCCGGTGGTTTGAAGGCATTAGCAATCTGGGTCTTGTGGACTTCGGTTTTTATGCAACTGCTAAACAACGTGTTTTTCCATCTTTCACACATTGGTCTGGAATATAAGCAGCTCTGGGATTTCTGAAACTTTTTTCAGGCTCGTGTGACAATGCTGGCTTAACCAAATTTTGATGTTCTTAAATCTCTTGCTGGTTAAAATAAATGACTCTGAGTAGGGTACTTCCATCCTTACAAGTCATCAGCAGCTTTCCAATTTGTTTGCAGTGCAAATATTTATACTTGGCCAGGGATTTCAAGGACAATAAAGCCTGAAAATCTGCACTAAGATGTAATTACAGTACATAAGATCTGAAGCAAACTATTTTTTGGGGGTGCTCATCCGATTGTGTTGTTTCCAAAACAGATAAACAGCTTTCATCGAGACTTTTCTATTCTGCGCTCATTGCGTTATTGTACAGAAATATTCCTAAAATGACCTATTGCCACCTCACGTCTGCACAGTATAGCATGTCCCATGCTTGAAGGAGCTGAAACGTTTCAGCAGTATTACTTAACAAAGTTATCAACCATTCCAATTGTGTCACCAAGCACGGGGAGAAAGCACACCGACAGCAGACAGAACAAATATAAACAGATTTGAAAAAAATTGAAATAAGGTCACATGCAATCATTCTTAGTCATGTTTACGCTCTGCAGAAAGGGCTGAGGAGGAGTGTCTGGGCCAGGATTCAAAAAAAGCATAAGAGGAAGGTCTATATCTACATTCCACCACACACTAAACATGCCACAGATGGATACTTACACCATATTATCACAAGAGGAACACACAATTATTTTTTGCCCAGCAACAGGACCCGGTAAACTTTTGGAATTCATGAGGAACTACATGGCTCCTGTCTAACAAATTACAAGCATCACTTTTTCTTCCACAAAATTAACTTGGACATTTTTTCTCCATGTTTTTCAATGCAAAGGCTCTTTAATAAGAGGTCCAGACTGTGTAAAATTAAGCATGACTAATTTCTTAGCTTTGTGGCCATTTCTTTTTTGAAAGCAGACATGATACCATGAATAGATGTGGCTGAAGTGGGTAGCGTTGAAAGAATTAAGGAAGCTAAAATACCACAGTCTTTTCAAAGTTCTGAACTCAGAATACAGGACACTGCTTTATACCTTCGTAGTATATTTGGACCCTTGTGTATGAAAAGAGCAGATAAAAGCTTATAGTTGCATGTGGGTTTATTACTGTTCCATATAAAAAAACAGAACACGCAGAGAAAAATGGATAAGTTAATCTTGCTTGAGGGATAATTGCTCTAAGCCTGGATGACACTGAAACTGGCCCACCTGCTGTTCAAACCCCAAGCTTGATGGAAACATTCACTAGCAAACACCAAGACTGCCAACAAGTACTGGGCTTGGAATTCCTATTTGGACGGGTACGATTATGTTTTGGTGTAATTTGGATGAAAATTACCAGAACACATCATCTAATTGACCCTTGGTAGATCTGAATATATTGGATTTTAAGTTCAAAAACTGTGCCAAGCATTAAATCCATTCAAAACATGTCCCTTCTATAAATTCTAAATGTGCCCTGTATTTTTCCATTTTAAGGTTTACTTGTGTGAAATATTCAAACTTGGTGCTGTAAGCCGAGCTACTACAGGTTTGTCCAATATGTCCCATCTAAAAAGTTTACTTTTCCAAAACAAGAACAAAATAGAAAAAAGGGCAGCTGTACAAGACAATTGGCTCTCATTTCCTCTTATTCATATGGGTAGCGAAACCACATTTTGCTATTAAGACGGTGTATAAACATTTAACTAGTGAGATCATACTGCACTATTCTGTAGACCAGTTTCACATAATACCGATACAGAGCAAGGAGAGGAAAAGCAGTTTAGACAGGTATACGGTAGCTTTAAACAACTGGAGAACCTGCAGAAAACCCACTGAGATAATGCAGACTCTACATAGACAGATCCAGATTCAAACCCAAGACCCTGGAGCCGAGAAATTATCAAATGAGAACCTTTTAATGGTTATTACTTAAACCAATATGGATTACAATAAAATCTCAGCAGGTGAGGTGGGAGCAACTGGTGCCTTTGTTGTATAGGTCCATCAGGAGCTTCATATTGAAATGGAAAACTTTCACATGGATCTGCCTCATAATGGACTGCTGCATGTGACTTTTAGCTTTGAACATTTCTGCTTTGAACAAAGCTGCAAAGTGACCCAAATTTACAGACTTACATTACAAAGTAAATATTTACTGTGGCAGAGGTCTTCCTTTTGCTTTATTCTGCTTTAGTGGTTGTAATCTCAAGTTAAAAACATTCCGTAATCAGTTATTTTTCTTTTAAAGGCTAGGCATCTGTGCTTTTTGGTCCTCCTGTGTTTCCAACTGGCTGTGGGAGATGTCCCTGGGCCATGCAGACACTCGGTGACAGGGGATCACCTGAAGAAAGTCAACAGTCTGGTAAGACTATTCTTTGCTAAAAGGCTTTGTAGGGGTATTAAATTGTAAGCCAGATGTATTACCAGCTCTGCTCACTGCACGCCAAAGTTTCAAAAATTAAAACATTACAGAGATGTGCAGAGAGTCAGACCGAGCTTCTCTTCCCACCCCTTGCTCCTGTGAGTTACTGTGTACAGCTTATACTGTAATTACTCACTCTTCTAAAGAGAGAGTATTACTCACTCTTCTAAGTCTGAGACATTGGCTGAATCATAAAATAAGTCTGTCATAGCAAAAAGTAACCAATTAATTCCTTAAGAATGAGCGAGATGCTTAAAGGCAGGGGAAAAAAAGTGTTCCAACAGCCACATTTCCTGTTCTTAAGCACATTTTAAATAACAAAACGCAATAAACACAATGTCTGTAGCAGGTATGATCCTTGTGGAAATTGAAACTACAGTATCTTGAAATCAGAGATTACTCCAGTAATGGTTACAACAACTTAAAAGTTAATCTGAGATGGTTCTTAGGGAAGAATTCCAGGATTTCAGATCCTTTACTACAGCTAACAAATGGGATGTCATATAAATGAAAGACCAAAAAAGGGCCACAATGGTCACATTAATAAAGAAGTTTCTGTTTTGGGGGAAAAAAATCCTCCTACAGAGAGCTACTTGCCTCACAGAGACTCATCTCAAGATAGGAAAATGGAATGTACCAAGCATTTCTCTTATTATACAAGCAAAATAACTCATTATTGTCATGTAATTTGCCAAACCGCTTCATACCATACGGTGTTGCGGGAAGCCGGAGACTACCCAGTAAGCAACGAGCACAAGGCAGGGTACACCCTGGAGGGGGCGCCAGTCCATCGCAGGGCAAGTGCAAGCCAATCAGACATGGGGACAATTTGGAGGCCACGGAAAAGGCCGGGGGGTGGGGTGGGGGGGGGGCATTTGGCCCGGACTCCAGGATAACTCCCTACTCTTATTGAGAAATGCCAGGGATCTTAAATGACCACAGAGAGTCAGGACCTTGGTTTAATGTCTCATCAAAAGACGTTATTCATTAACAAAAACAATGAGATTTCAACAATTTGACAGGATAGACAAGAGACTTTTCAACAACATATAAATGTATCCTTGAGTACACCTGCTGAGAACTGGATGGTTGTGCAGCTCCTTCCACTCAGAAACCGAGATACCACCGTGTGGTGGCTACTAAGGACACGCACTACAATAAGATGCAATTCCAGGCAGTGACCGGTAGATAATTCCATGTATTCCTTTAATTTCTCTGGTCAATCTGATCAATGCGTCACGGCAGGACATATTGTATGACGCAGGGACAGAATTTCAGAGAATTGCCAAAGGAGCTAAATTTCAGGCGCTTCTGCTTTACCTCTCTAGAATCATATCTATTATATTGTAGTACAGTAGCTTTTCAAATGCTGCACGCAAGACTACTCTCATTTTGCACAGCATGAAAAAAGCAAATCAGACGTTGATAGTTTGAGTGGGCATCCTGTCATGTGTCACAGATACGCCAAGCAGCACTGTTTATGCCAGGAGAAGGCTCAGGGTCCTCTCGGCCTTCTGGCTAAGCATGCAGCAGCAGTGGCAAGAGCAAGCTGCCTCTTACTAGCACTAACTATCCTTTGTGGGCTCTCTGAGTAGGTCTGCAGGCTGGCACCAAAGGAGCACATCCACAGGCCTCATTCTTCCCATGTCACACTGGAGAGCCAGGCAGTAGAACAACTGGTCATTCCAAATTGGGTGGGCATCTACCAAAACTTGCCACTGCAGATTATGGTACAAACTGCTAGAAGAAGAAAAAAAAGAGTCCAATCAAAGAGTTAAGGTTGCTGGGAAAACAAAGTCCTTCAGAAAAGCATGCCCCTGCCCGCATTGCTGCATTACAAAAGACCTGGCAGATTAAAACTGAAAGAGCGGTGTCGGCTTTCATTGCTGTGAACTTTGAACTAAAACGACTGAAAATGCAAACAAACTGAAACGACTGCGCAGCTCTCCGGATTCTGCCCCAATGACCAGCAGCAGGCTGGTGCTTTTGACAATGCACTCACCTTCACAGGCATGCCGAAAACACACACACAGACACTGTGTGAACGTGTGCACACACATTTGTCCATACTTCTAAATGTTACACGTGGAGTGCAGGAACACAGTGCGAGACTGGGCTGGGCCTGCCCAATCACATCAGAAACTATGTGCCCAACTCCGCAGTTGCTACAGCGCTCTGCGCTCTGTTTCTTGCCAAACGGCATGGAACTAATGAAGTAAAAAGACAGCACAGTGCTCGTGTGTCAAGTGTTGAGAAGGTTATTAAGACTCAGGAAAGTGTATTCCTCCTTTCAGCACATGCAGCTTCAAGGGTCACAGTGCTGAGATAAGTAATATTAATATCTGATAATGTACTCCATTGCTTGATATTTTTAGCAAAAGAAGCAAGCCACAAATCCCCCTCCTTGTCCATATCCTTAAGTTAATAAACTCCCCTTTTCTTAACTTTGCAGCTTAAAGAAAAAACGTCTGAATTCAACCATTTATATTAGCTAAGAATTCTAAGAAAACACGCGGATAAAATAAATAACAAAAACTTACAAGTCAGGTAATCTGCTGTAAACATATCAGCGAGTGAAAGGCAGTGTGTGGTGCAAGGCCAATCTTTTTCCTCCCATCAGTACAAATTTCCTCTGCAGAGTCAAGTATTTTTTCAATATACTCTTTCTCATATAGGATACATTTCTCTTATACCGTAGCATGCATTTAACCCTTAGCTAAAACTAGAACTGATATCCGTAGTATGATTAAGGTTTGACGTCTTCAAGCAGATTTACTTCAGCTGCAAAGATGCTCAGGCCACGTGTTCTTATTTTTTAAACTACCCAAAAGTCAAAATGGTCTATATTTTATTTTCCAGATTGCAAACCAGATGCAAAATGGCTGTGCAATTACATATACGTTCACAGAGCAAGGCAGTCTGGTAAGTACTGTATGTTTCCTGAAGTTCATACCATTTATTAAGATGCCATCGTAAGCAGTACGTTAACGACTTCAGTTAGAGAAATATATATCAAACTCATAGATGTATAAAACAAGCAGTTTTATAGTGGGCATTACACCAAGGTCGTAAATGTTCAACTTCCTCACATTCACCAACAAAACATTGAATGTTTTTTTCCACAGGCAGAGGTGGACAGGAAATTGACCATGACTGTGGAATTTGCATCTTAAATGGCCCTTTGATGCCTTAGATGGCTTAAATGGCTTATGTGAACAGGCTGATATCATTTCCTGCTCTTTTATCATACACATCTCAAGTTAGATTTTAACATCCTTTGCTACTGGTCCTTTTTTAGTGTTACATAATGTCCCTCCCATGCACAGCAAAGGGAACTGCTCAAAAGACTTAACGAAGACCAGTTCAGTGTGTAAGGAAGTGTGCCAGAGAATTGCATGAATTTGAACAGTACACATTTAGAAGAGTGCAACAGTGATCCACTTTCTCCCATTGTGTTAAAAAAGCTGAATCAGAAGCTTTGTAACACCAGGAAAATACAGTTGAGTATCAATGCAGAGATGAGTAGCTTGTTTTACAGGAAAAGTGAACACTGTGCATTTTCTTTCACACTTGCCAAAGTCCCACAGTGCTTGCCGGAGAGCTTTCCTAACATAGGGGAGTCACATGGGTCTCACTTCAGACAGTGCATGCTCACAGACACAACACATGCAGTCTCCACAGAAGGCACCACAGGCCGGAGTCGACACATCTACACAAAACAGTGCAGCTTCATACACTACAACACACAGATCAGGATGAAGTGTTACCTTTAACTGAGCTGAGCTGTCTGCCCATTCTCTGTATCTTTCTTTGTGTATTTATGTGGTGTGTGTTGTGATGTCTATCTGCAGAGTGACACTTGCTATGTCAAAGCTGCCTTCCCCAAAATACTGGAGCTTCTCAGAGATCACTTCAGTTATGGCAAGAGCTCAGACAACTACCAATACGTGCAGGCGGTGAAAAGGCTGGTGCAGGAAATTTACACACAAAAATGCATCCAGGAGATCGATTTGGAGAGGGAGGTGAGTGATCCTGCCTTTGCAGGAATGGTGGGTGAATTCCAAAGCACACGACTCTGCCCTGAAGTGTTGTGACCACGGGAAAGCCAGCAGGCCTACACTCACCACTGATTGTGAGCGAACACAATCCTCCTAGGATTATCTTCAAAGGGGACAAGGAATTCTCAAGAGCCTTAGTTTTGTCACGTCAGCTCCTCGAGAACTCAGATTTTAAAAAACATTAAAAGATTAGGCACTCATTACCTATTACAACAATCAAATGTTTGCTGTACAGACATAACTGCAGTAAAAATAAAGCTGCTGTTCATTTTCAAAATCAAATGAAAACTTTTACAGTACCTCCAGGAATGCGGTTTAAAGAGGGTCTGACAACACTGGCATAACCTCGAAGCACAATTTTTATCATCCTCAAGTGACTGGTGAAGCCTGTAATTCAATTTGGGTAATAGAATAATGGACAGATCTACTTAGAATGTGAATGTGAGAGTGTTTAAGATTATCTTTTCCATCCCTGAAATCAATCAAAGGAAATAAAAGAAGAAATAGTTTACCGACAGGAATGATAATAAAATCATGGCTGGGCAACAGATTATCCTGTAAAACAACTCCTTGTTTGAGACCAGAAGAGAGACAGAAATGGGAAATCTGTAAAAGAAACAGCCAAAAGAACATGAGAATACAAAAAGGGTTACAAACAAGCAGAGGAGGCCCTATGGCGTAGCTCATTTGTAAAAGTCAGTTTGGAACAAGCTACCCTGTAGTCTTGTTGAACCCTGGATCTGATTGAGAAATGACAGGACCAGATCTTCAGATTAATTAGGTAACAGCAAATCAAATGAACTGGACAGTCCTACTCTTGATTGCAACCTCTCATATTTATGTCAATTTAAAATGGGAGCCATGGAAGTCTCATGAGTGTCTGAAATAATGGAGGTACTATACTCTACCTGTTCACTTAACATATTGTCAGTTCTGTGACACCCAGTAATTGTTTGCAGTGCCAGAATACTCCCCCAAGTGAGGCTAAATTAACTCTGAAATGCAATTAGTGATCATGATTGGAAAGATTGGAGCTGAGCAAAGGCAGACTTCAGAATCAAGGTGGATGCAGGCAAGAGTTCTCCCAAAGAGACAAGAGAAAAGTGGTCTAAAACATGACCGTATCCTTACTTGTTACGCAGAAACAAAATAAAATCAGTCCATAAAAGGTAACCATGTTGTGGACCATAGCAATTCCTTATTTAGATTGTGGTACATGTGTACAGTCTTTGCAAAAACAGAAAATTTAAGATCACATATTTTTAAGAATACAGTGGCTCACACCAATCATTAGTTTGCAGAGTGAAAAGTGCACCTGGTCACTCAAATGTTGATCAGATTAATCATAGCCACTTCTAGTTTACAAACTCCTTTCTCTATTTTTCCTTGACAACCGTCACAGGCAGGAGCTGACTGACAATCTACAAGAAACTTTCTGATAACTCAACTAGTTCATAAAACAATTTGACAGACAGACCTCAGGGACTCAGTGACTTAAAGCATTAAAAACCACAGACATCTTATCTCATGTGAAATAAAGTTCCTGCCGAGAGCTAAAGTTTAGTTTTTTATTTGAAAAAGCTCCCCCACTTTTGGAGTTGCCCACACATAAAAACAGCACAAACATCGACGCTCAGACTGTTGATTCAAACTGCCTTTCATTTATCTCTCAAAAATAGGGACTCAGATTTCCATTTCTTTTTGTTTGTGTGTGTGGGTTTCAGTATGATCCAGCAAAGTTTGCCAAAACGTACACTGGCTCGCCAAAAGAAGCACTAGAAAAAGTACGCAAGGTCATCTCTCTTTACAAGAGTCTGATGACAAAAAACAACAAGCCGGTGAACTGGAACTGCGAGGACCAGTATGCAGAAGACATCCTGGAAACCACCACCAGTGTCAACAAACCCACAGGTAAAGAACTATAGATTTACAAACTGAGAGCAGACAAGTTATTCGTCATGTGTAGCAATGTGGAGCACTGCTGGGTTAGGGCTGTGGGTACCTGTTAAGTTGTGGGTTCAAATCCCAGTTACTGCTCTTGTACAGATGAACAAGGTGCAGTACTTACCCAGACTGCTCTAGTGAAATACAGGCTCTATAAATGGGTGAGAACCAAATCTCGTTAAACTTACTGTAAATGAGTGACTATGGAAAGACCTGGGGGAAATATGTTAATAGTGTTAAACTATGCTAATTACAAGATGTTTAAAGGGAAAAGGGAAAAACAAATGAAAACTAAAAAAGAGAGGAGTCTTAGATGGCGACAATTAACTAGAATAGAGACTTTTCAGAGTCTTTCCACTGAAAATGACCATGCCAGGAAACTGGACATCATAGGAATTTTAGAATACATTGCAGAGCGTAAGGCTCTGAGGATTCATGTATATTTCAAATCACTCAGCTACTTGATTATGGTGCTTCTGGTGTTTGATGTTATGGGAGGGTGATGAAGGGGCACAATTTGGTAATAGTGTATTATTCTACTTTCAGCTCTAGAACCAGGAGGAGTAGGTTGCTTCATTAATACACATTTCTATCTCCCTGACAACCTCCAACAGCACTAGATAAATTGAAGAAGTCGGGATATTCCATAAAAATAGCTCTTGCAGTTAAAAAGGGCAAGGTTGAAGAAGCAATTATAACTTCTAAAAACAGATCATATATTTAGTTTCTGGCCTGAATTGATGTGAGAGTCTTATACAGGTGTACTTTACTAAATACAGCCTTTTCTTGCCATATTCTTTGGCAATACTTTCAATTCATGCACCATTATATCCTGAATTCCAGGGAGATGCTGTTAGCAATTTTGTTAGCAATTTTAAGAGCAGTCTCAATTTTGGTCACACTCCGTTATCGAGCATAGAATTGTGAAGAATTAGCAGCTCAAGAGCTTAAAATGCAGCATCTGATTTTATGCATGTTCGGCACGTTCCTGAGAGCTTAGACTACTGCTTAATGTTTCAGAATCCTTTTTCAGCAGACTTAGGCCGAGTAAAAGAAAAATCGGAGATAATGAACACTGTCATTTCTAGCTCAGATTAGACAGGATCTGGAGTGACAAGTGCTTGATGCCATTGAGTGGGGGGTCATTCAGTTTTTGAGGACAAGAAAGGAGTAATGGGGGGACCTCTATCATCCGTTAAGGATTTGACCAAAGGAAACGGGCAGGTGGTCTATACCCTGTTGGCAAGACTGGACACTTTCCTGTTCTTGGAGACACTGAATAGTTGAGAGGTAAAATGTTGATGGCTATGTGGGATACATTAAGAAAAATTGAAAGATGTGATGTCTAGGTCTGCAAGATAGACATTTTCCCCTAAATTCTACTGTTGGGCCATTAATTTAAAACAAAGTTAAAAAACAATACAAAATTCACATCACTGGATAGTGCCGTCAGTGCATGAGTGACAGCTGACTACTGCTGATGGCCACGGACTTCACCAATCATTACAAGATTACAAAACCAATCACAACAGCCTTCCTAAAATGCATGCTATTAGTTCCTAGGTCTGCCTAGTGGGCCTTGCTTCTAAGAAAACATTTTGGTGGTCTGAAAGTGTTTTTCTTTTTTCGGCAACAACATCTGCCAGCTATTGAAATACTTGCATGGGCAAAAGCTCATGCAAGAGCAACAAGTGTTCCCAGCCTTCACTCTTCTTTACAGCTCATGGAAATGAGAGGCGAGCTGTACTACAAGATGTAAACCACAAACATGTCAGATGTACACATTCCAGGAACCCCTTAATTAACAGGAAGATATGCATTACCACAATATTAGCCATTTTGCTTTGTTGACACACTGCACATGAATCCCTAGCATTCCTTCAGTAGTGCTCCTAAAACTACTACTCCTTACGAATTCCTTTAGAATTTGTTCCGGTTGAGAGATTTTTTGAGAGCAACATTTGATAATAGAATGAAGGATGAACAATGTTTATATAACCTTAGAAAAATGTGCGGTCTAACACTGCCAGGGGATTTTTACGCAAGATGTTGACTTTCTGAAGCACAGCCAAATTTGTAAACAGCAACATTAATCTCTCATTTATATTTTTTATACAAAATAAATTGCATTCTTAAATTGTTTTCTTTTGTTTAAATTAATTTGCTTTAATGGAACTCAAAATGTAAATGCACCGAATGTAACTAAAACAAATATGTAAACCAAAGAAAGCCACCTACACTTCATTCTCAAATTCGGAAAGAGGCAGGCAGTGCAGCAGGGCTTTTTCCAATTGCAGACTCGATTGTTCTAGAAAATAGAAAAAAAATCCCTTTGAGTCATATCCAAGATTTACAGTATAAATTTCAAAGTCAAAACATTCCATTTCCGAGACACTTTCCCCTCTTCTGCTTTTCTTCACAATTTTGCCTTTTAGTCTCAATCGTTAATGATGTAGTGGTACTTTGAATGCTTTGCTTAATCCTTGTGTCCTTCTGTGCTTTGATAATTCCCCAAAAGCTCTTCCTCATTATCTTCCATGAGCTTCTCCCTGGTAGGTTACAATATTTCTTTTTCCAATTTCCTGTAGGTCCTGTCGTATGCCAATGCTCTTGTCCAACTGCAGGTTATGGGGCTTCCGAAGGGGCTTCTTTGGCAGCCAACAGTTTATGGAAAGGCCTTCCAAAGCTCACTGCTTCCCAGCCTCCCATACAACCCTATGAGCAGTCAAATCCTCCTCAGAGGATCTCAAGCACCGGAGGCAGACACCTTCCAAATTCTGGCCCTGCCATGCTGGAAAAGCATCAGGGAAGCAGGAATACTATATCTGTGACCTCTCCTGATGGGAAAAAACAGAAGAAGACGACGACACTCTGGGACTACTTTGCCTTCACCGTGTCTGCATTTCCTAAACCTAAGGATTCTTCTTCTTTTCTTACCTCTGGATACAGCACAGTTCCCACATCTTCCAATAAAGAAGATACTCAGAAAACAATAACTACATATCCATTTATTAATTCTGATCCCTTATCACTGATACCCAGCACCCCTGAATACTTGGATCACAGTCACATCTCCAGTAAACCACCCGAGAGCATGCCACTGACAGTTCCTAGTGTAGGCAGTATTGTTATAGAGGGGAAAAGGCCTTCTGAGACAACCTTTGACACTAAAGAGCTGACAGAGAGTTATATCCCAAATCTGGATGGAACAGCCAGGTTAAACACTGAAAAAAACACAGACTATGCTCATCTTGGGAAGGACAATATAATTAACTCTTCACCTTCCCTTGAAGATTCTATGAATCACCCAACCACTTCCTTACCATCCCAGGACACCCTGGTTGGTGATACACCAAATGGACCAGAAGAAAGTACAGCAATTGCCCTAATAGCCAAGAGATCAGTAGATCCCAGGATGGAGGGATCCTTCTATAATTCAGAGACAGACACTCAAATAAACCGGGCCTGGGCATCTGGTACACTGAATGATCCAGAAGAAAAGGAAGTTCTTGAAAGAATTCTGGGTAATTTCAGGAAAGGGTCACCAGTTCCACAAACTGTCAGCTACAATGGCTATCAACCTACACAGAGCACTTCAAGGCAAACCTGGCAAGAAAAGGTGATTCCCACTTGGATGCAAACTGAAGAGCGGTCGCCGAGGTTATCTGCAGCTTTTAAAGGGCAACAAAGAACACCACTCTCTTCTACTATTTCACCTTCAAATACCCCACAAAGCCAACAGATTAATAGCAAGATCAGTAATGAGGAAAAGGTCATCCCAGGTAGTACGTTTAAACAGTTCATACTAACACCTGCACCATCTGTCTGCTTCACGTCTGTGCACAGTGTTGACCTTCCGATGCATGGGTATTCGGCAGGGTCACGCAGCTTTCTGGACACTTTGAAATGATCATTTCACCTGTCCACAGCGAGGACCGCTTTAAAAGAAGCTCTTTCAGGTCTTAAGGAGGAAGAAGCACTATGGATTGACTGTTCCAAACATTAACTTTTAGGGACGAATGCTGCCTTCACCTCTAACCACTAAGAGCTGCTGAGTTTCTAACCCCTAAAGACATGTGGTCTCTTCCTTGTTTATTCTAACCTCTTGTTCAATTTCAACCACTAACAGTCAATGCTACCAAAATGTCTAACTGTTTTGAGTTCACCACAGGAGCAAAAATCCTGTCAGCAATGCAACAGAAAATCTGTGTTACAGTCTGTGTGTTTGTCTCTCCTGCTCCAGGCCCTCCCTCCTGCAAATGATCTACTGTATGCACAAGCACTCAAACCTCTTCCATTTTGCCTGCAGGTCATGATTCAAGCACCTGGGATCATATCGACAAAAGCTTGGCTTCAGATCCAACAGCTCAAGACTCAGGGAAAGAGTCCCAAAGTGGGACTTCAGAGGACTCGAATAATTCTTACAAGCCTGCCTTCATTGTGGTGGCTGTGTGCGGAGGACTACTGCTTATAACCACCCTCTACTGCTTCATACAGAAAAAGGTAATATAGTTAGCATGAGGATGGCCATGCAACTATTGTATGTTTCCTGCAGACCACAGCTTGTGAAGTCTGATTAAGTCAGTGCATAAATGCCACAATGAAATATTTAACCCTGACTGAAAATCAGCTCCAATTTGCTTTGCATAACATGGCAAAGGCTTCATTACAGTGCTTCTACAAGAAAAAAAAAACAGTCCAGCTTCAACCCTTACTAAAACTGAATCTGGTAGCTCTTTGTACCAAGAAGAAAATGGCATGCTGATGTTTTAAAAATGTACACAGAAAAAAACATGGGAATATTTGATGGATACGGTTTTCAAATTGAATGACTTTAAATTATTCCCACATGGCATTGTAAATTGTATTTGCAGCTGCTGTTTTTCATTAATATGTGCTTCATTATACATTACACAGTTCCTTGAGTCACTAGAGCCAGCGGGGTTTGAACTGCTAAACTGGTTGCTACAGTCTTTTATCCTAAGGCTTTAAGCAAACGATTCTCAAAGTTTGACGTACTGTACATTTGATGTATTTATGTAAATAAATAAGGGTGTATGACAGCCCTGGACAACCCAGGAAAAGTCTTCTGCCAGTGGCTGCTGTATGTTCCTTTAAGAGTCTTGAAGAAGAGCATTTTGAATGGTGTAATAGATGGTGTAACAGTACATTCTTAAAATAATGCGTTTCTGTGCGATTCGAAACTCTCCAGACAGTTGCTGTATTCTTGCACCACTGCAGAACAGAAGGAACTACATGATCCCCTTCCCACTGCCATTTTATAAGAAGCAGAGATTAAATCAAAACTTCAACCCTGCCAAAATTCAAACCACATCATCGATGGTGGCGTTCCATCACCACATCCCTCTATCCAATAGAAAGGTGCCACAAAATGTATCTGATTTCTGCCAAAGAAAAGCTTTCCACTATATTATTTTTTTGTAATTTCCTTTCATTACAGATCTTGCCATTATTGCCTGTCAGGGATAAAATATTTCTGTCCTCTGAGATTAAAAACATTTACTCGAATTGACTGCAGTTCCCTAATAACACTGCATTCCAGTCTTTCCAGTGTGTAACACCCTCTTCGAATTATTTCTCCCGCAGAAACTTGAAGCACTAAAACATGGATCACAACATCATGAAGAAAGGTAAATTATTTTTCGAAAGTTTTTAAACTCCTAAAGTATAAATGATGAGGTGCTGCAGTATGTCCATTTCAGGGTTTGTTTACAGACCCTGTATCTGTTATTTTTGCACAGGACTTTTTAAAAATGACAAAATATTAAAATAAGATCTTCTGAAGAAAGTGACGCATGAATTAGATGGTAGTCTATCTTCCATCTGCTCTCTGTATAATCCAAAATGTTTGAAAGACATTTAGAAAAAAAGATGGAGAGTTATGATGGAGAAGTACCTTCTGCATAACTGCATAATGTGCAATGTAAGAAACTCCCAAAATGTTCATATGTTATTGCAGTGTCCAAGTGATATTGGAAAGCAGACAGGCAGAACAATGTACTGTGTTGTGGAAAAGCACTAAAGACAAAGAACCCCCATTCACTTACTGAAAAATAGGCATCCTTTAGATTGTTTTTTTTAAAAAAAGTTTCACAGCCGTGAAAACAAATTTAATGGTTGGATTTAGATGATATCCGAGAACACTTGCATGTGCAATATTTTGGGAAACAATTAAAAAATGTTGTTTACAATGATGCAAGTTTAGCTTTAGGATGCTGTAACTACACTGAAACCCTGTACAGATGCAGACATTTGAGGGATTTGCTAAGAGGTTTAGGGATGAAGCAGCATGCAAACAGCAAGACGTGGATGTTGACAACACTGAATGTGTGTTTTTTTCCCATGACAGGGTAGACAACTGTAGCTCAAGAATTGCAATGGAGGAATCTGAACTTTTGGATAACTCTGGTAAGGCTCTTCTCAGCTGCTCTTGCTCTCTAGCCTTCTAGACAAGTAAACAAGATCCCAACCTCAGCTATGTTTCTTTCTAAAGCACCCTGGTTTAGGTTTCTTTAGTTTGTAATTCAGAAGGCTCCATGGATTGATGCCCTTTCTCACTTACAAATCTCCCTTTATTAATCTCAAACAGTCTTTGGCATTTTTCTGCACTACCAAACTCCCATCCTATGCACAGGATTCCTACTGAGACCACAGACTACTTTTTCACCATAAATCCTAGGTTTAACTTTGCCTAGCTCATGATTAGCCACACAAGGAACAGTCAACACATGCATCTCTTTAGAATGGTAAAATAAAAGCACGTCAGGCCTCAGAAATTGGTAAAAACTCTTAACTGATGCTTTTTCCTCTGTGGTTTTTATAGAACATTAATATAGGCCAAAAGGCACATAACTCAGCCATATATGAAGGTAACATATGCTCACCTACACACGTGCTACTATATAACTATATAACAGACTAACGATTGGTAATGGACACTCTCATTCAATCTCACAGATCAATGGCACGAAATACGACTCAAACAGGAAACCATATTTTTCCCCTACTTAATGAGTGCACGTTCGACAAAAGCCCTGTATTGCCTTAGAGGCTACATTATTATGAGAGAATGCTTTTTTCTAAACCGTTAAGCTCAAATACAGCACAGTGCATTTACAGCTCATTTCCTTCATCTGAGACATGTCAAACAATGAAAAAGGCTTAAATTTAAGTCGTTGATGGATGAAGTGACAGCTGCAGGTTACAACAAGTGCATATTGCAGATGGCTCATTTAAGAGATTGTGCAAAAAAACGCATTAGGAATGGGTCAGAAATAAAAGCAGGCAGCATTAAGCAATGCTTTTCCATGATGTTATATGGTATCTTTTGCTTTTTGTCTGAGAAATGACATAGTTCCTTGGGATTGTTTTTTTAACCAACTCTGGTTTCCTCCCTACAGATTCAACTCTGTAACTTGGCGAATCTCCGCAAATGTCAAATAACAAACAAACGGAGGAAGACAAAATCCTTTCCAAAAAGATTTTCACAGCATGGACTTATTTCACCCCTTAATATGGATTTTCTAAGTTGATAAGTATATACAGTATATATAGAATTCTATAAGGATATTAAAATATTAATAAAGTTTCTATATTTTTATACATAAAGACATTGTATCGAACAAAGATGAAGATAATGAAGAATATGGGTCGAAAATCGTTCATTCTATTGCAGTGTTTGACTGCACTGATGAAGAATTCCCCCAACAAAATGAAGCGGAGCGGAGAGTTCCCAGGCTGAGCACGCGGCTTCAGCTCGGTGCGCCAGGGAACTGTAGAGGATGATGTCATTTTCAGTTGAGTTGATCTCCAAAGGAACAAGGGAGATACTGTAGCAGGATCCACTGGATACCGAGAGAAGGCCAACCCCCAGCCTTAATTGTGCCTACATGACTTGGCCATCTTGCTACTTCAAGAGACAGAAACCATAAAACTTAAAAAAAAGATGACAGAACATTCAAGATGTTTCCACTGTGACTGGGAACCACACCTGCTCTGAACTGCTTTCATGCCAAAAGACAAATCAGCCCCTCTCAGGGGCCACACTTACTGGGCTTCACAAAGGCTTCAAGTTTGGGTTTTTTTGTGGTGTAACTGGAATAAAATCGAATGTGAGGGGGAACGCCAGCAGGACTAAAAACTACAGTTCCTGCTGATGTCCACTAACTGGGATCTCAAGGCTTGTACCCCATTTTCTTGATCTGCTCTGACATATTGTGTGAGTGCTGGCCGATACTCATTGAGGTAATGCGTCCAAGTTTCTACTTGGGGGCTTCAGGGTTTAATGATGTGAATGAGTTTTGACCATCAATCTCATGGGCTGTTGCTGTTTTATGTGGCGGTTAATGGATTGTGTCAGGATTAGGGCACGATTTCACAAAATAATAAATTCAGTACACTCCTTTTCCATGCAATACTGTACAAGTACAATAAGAACAGCCAAGGGCAATGACCACATAGACCCATGATACAGGCTTCACCCCCAAAATTAAAATATAACTGCAGCAAATCCATCCTCTGGCAAAGTTGTGGAAATTCAAGCAGACCTGTCTGCACCTTACAACATGGGCTAAAGGAGTCCTCTACCGATAACGTTAACACCATAAAAAACACATATTTACCGCACTTGAACTCAGGCCTGTTTAAAACAAAGCTTCAGCCTGGTAGCCAGGTGTAACTGTCTTGTTAGTAATTTGCAAAGTATGATGTTGCACCCCTTAAGCTTACGTTTGACCAAGTCAGGTTGGAAATTCTGGATACTTTAGTTAATAGAGCCTTTATAGTTTGCCAGAGGTTTCTTGCTTTCATCTTGTGGAAAACAGCCAAGTGCACAGCTTTGGAATTAGCCAGCAGGTTGGAATTTTTTTTATTTAACCCGAGCCTTAGTTACAGAGCATACAAACGCTGAAGTGCCTTATTACTGATTTACTGATCATTAAGCTTTCAATTAGCATTTCTCCTTTTATGGGGGGATTCTGTCCTAAAAGGGGTTTAGTCATAAACCCACAGATTCAGTTTCAAACTTATGACTTCTCAGCCAAGCATAGATGCCACCTGGGGTTTATTGAATGAGCAAAGTTCACTGTGCCGATGGTCTCCCATCACAGGAGACCAGTGTCCCCCAGTGATGGACTAAATGGAGTCTTCCCTTTCTGGCTTCCTCCTGCACACTGCAGGTTGGCACAGAACATGGTTGGCTTCTTGAAAGCACGAAATACTGTTTCTACATTCTTAACAGTTCTGCATAAGGAGGAAGAGACTAAATGGATCATGAAACAGATATTTGTGAACAAAAACTTTTAGTAACCTCAAACTAAAAGCTCACAGGAGGATGCCATTTGGCCCAAACTGATTTTCCACAGTATATAAAAAACACAAACAGGGTGTTTGAAATGATGCTGCAAGATCAGATGTACATAATCAGAAACTTAGGTTTCAAGTGACACAGACAATTCTGCAAACATCAGCCAACTATCAGTAAACCAGAAACGTACAATCTTCAACAAAATTTGAAATTCTATACAAGGAAATCATTTTTGCTTTGTTCTCTTCCTCTTTGATCCAAGAGAAGTAATCCCCCCCCCCCCGTCACACTTCTCTTCTTTTAACCTCATCTCTCAAATGTGCCTCAGGCTGTAAAAAAAATGATTTGACCGCTTTCTTTTAGATTGTAAGTAATAAAGCCTGTCACAGGTCATTCTTCTATGAACCTCCAGGATTTGATAACTGATGGTGCTTCATTGGAGAATAGCACATGCTGAAGAAGGACACATGCCATTTCCTTTCCCCTAAGCAAATTGCACTATAGTCACAAAGCAAAAGCTTAACTTGCAACAGACTCCAGCTGTGATTTCATGAGCTCTACATCTCGGAAAATCTTCTCAATGTGAAGCAAAACCCCAGCTTAATCTGCCTTTCTCTGTCCTCTTGGGTATGTTCCTTTCCCAATTAAAAAATTTATAACTGCTAACAGGAGGTCTGGTGGAGTGGAGATTATCACCACAGTGTCAAAGCTCTAGGGTTGATTCCATTCTTCGGTGTCTGAGCCAAACGCATGTTCACCCCATGTTTGCTGGGACTTCCCCCAAGCTCCCAAAGACCTGCAGGACAGGTTTGATTGGCTCCACTCCTGACTCTCTTAGGGATTTACCCCCCCATGAGGAAGGAACGGGAAAAGGAAAATGGACTCCCCAATTCATTTTCTGCACCTGAGTCAAGTGGATTTGGAACCTCTATCCTCCTATCGACTGTTCGGGTTATGGGATGAGAAGGATGAACACCACAGCCTCAGTAGACAGGTAGATTTTATAGAGTTCGTTTAAGTTATCCACAGCACTAGAAACCATAACCGAAATCTCAGTAGATGAGAAAACGAGGGTTACAAAGTCTTACCTGATTTTTTTCAGATCATGCAGCTTACCTGACTGATTTGTAAGAGTCAGCCTAAATGTTTTTACAGTATTAATACTTTGCATGTATATAGCCCTTTGAATCCCAAAGCACTTCATATATAAAAAAGGATCTAATCCACCCATCACTGATATGTAGCTCCCAGAATGTACCAGCAGCCCTCCTATACCATAGATCAGGGAGAGAATTAAGGAGGACATTTAGGGAAGCTAGAGTATCCAAATCTGTGGAATTTCACCAGGACACCAAAGTTAACACAACTACTGTTACAAACACTGTGAGGGGATCATTAATGGTCAAGCACTCATTAAATAACCATTGTTACATAGTGTACATATTCTCAATGTTGTTAACCGACATCCTACTGAACGCTTCCTAATCCACTCACCCATTCACCTGCTACACATGGTCTTTTTAATTTCAATTCATTTGTTGTGGTGATGGTACTGTATCCAGCATTCGAATGTGTGCGAGTCAGAAAAGAAATGGGGCCGGATCAAGTTGGTTTTGAGCCATTGGTTAAATCAGTTATACAATAAAGAAAAAAAGAGGAAAAATGGGAATGGACTTAACATGTGGCTTCTTGAGAGCAGACAGAAGGATGACGCAAGACTTGCAAATTATTTCTGAAATGACGTTGCACTTGTTTTCTCGAAAGTGAGCAGAACAATTCAATTTTGCTTTTTGGGCACTGATAGGTTTTCATGGAAAGGTCTCGGCGACCTAACCTTGGCACTGCTTAATGGACCTGAATCTATATTTTCTTGCAATCACTGCTGTTGTTGAGACCTGCATTTCCTTGATGGACCCAGATGTTCTTTTCAAACATTATTAAAGCACAAGAGTAATAACCCCCACTTACAAGTGTTCATGGGTACTGTACTTTATCTTTCCCTAAGATAATACTAATAAAATAGTGTAAATATACATACAGTATATAAATAATGCTACAGCTGTAAGAAATGCTTGCAGGTCGGGACTTACAAGAGAAAGAATGAAGACTTCTAGAATACCAGCATGCTCATTTGGAAAAACAATAACTAAAACATTTTTTGCTTGCATAAATAAAATGAACATTCATTTTAGCTTTAGAAACCTGTACTCCTTGGTTCTTCATTCTTGTAACAGTCTGTGTAAAATGCAAGTGTGACGTACATACCTATGTAATTACAGCGTTATAACATGTACTTGATGTTCAATATGTATTACAACTAAGGCGCTCAAAAACACATTTTCTATTTTTGGTTTTAAATGTGCATTACACCGTGCAAATACAGCATCACAGTCACTAACTGAAATCAAACAGCAGGGCCAAGCAGCAGAGGCGCTCTGTGAGCCTTTCAGGAGGTCCAGCCGGGGACACGCTGCCTGCCATCAGTGACTGGATTTCTCCAGCTGGTGATGCACAACTGGCTGAGCACCAGCGACGGTAGGGCCGGATTAGCCAGCCAAGGCTCTCACGCCCTGCTTGAAATGGTGACCCCTGTGGCCTCATGTGTGCCACAAGGGATGTACTGTACCTCTCCTCAAGTAAGAGCTGGACCTCCTGTACGTCATTGCATAGCTCGCAGTGTGTTAAAAAAAAACACAATGCTTTAAAAGATGGGCATGCAGGAGGGGGCCATCCACACTGCTCACTCTCCCCTCCGGCGGCCGTGGAGTCCTGACGTTAACACCCAATCGGTGATAATATTCTACTATTCAGCAGGTCCATTATAAAAAATGAGGTTGAAAACCACCTCCAGTAGGCTGTATGTCTATCTGTATACTGTCAGTGCAAGAATATATCCAATTTTATAGTTCCTTCAACATTAGTGCTACAGCTGCATGTTTAGTTTCAAAGTCCCTATCAACAGAAGGCTGCAAGGCTGCAATAAGTGACGATCTGGAGGAAGTCTTGGTAGACGGTGATGGTAATTAATATGGATTAATTTGGAAAAGAGAGCATGCATACATTTTTAACATCAAAACAATACTGCATACCGTTCTTGCTGTTACCAGGTGCTGGCCATATGAAAACTCGCTGAATTCAAAACAGCTGGCTCATTAATCTCACACTCTCACATGGAAGTAGTCTCTCTCCTGGGTTAACAGTAACGTACCGTACCTTGGTCGCAAATGTTACCTTATATGGAACACTGATATGAAGTTTTAAGCTAAATATCAGGAAAACAGAATATAGAGCGGTAATTTTACAGACAAAAACCATAAGGTCAACTGGCACTACAACATAAAAGACTTCAGGTAAGAATCACCAGCATGATCTGTTTTAGACAATTTACAAATACAGGGGTCAGGGGATTAATGCGGTAAGAAGAGGGTTTCCAAGGGTAAATTCAATACAACAGAGGTTGTATTCTAACAGAGCCAGATGATTAAAGCTGTTGTTGAATCAGTGAGAACTGGGTGACATCAACATTTGCAATGAATTACAGTACCTTAAAGATTTAATTATCTTAAAGAGCACTTGGATCTATTCCATTTCATAACACATTTCTTTTTTGTTCCCACTTTTAATTGTACTCCTCTAATGCAGACATGCAGTTAGGCCTGTCCATGGCATCTTCATTCATTCTGCAGACGTGGCAATTAAAAGACTAAAGTGTTTACTATTGACGAGTATCAGCTTAGGTCCTTAATTTTATGGTGGCACATCAGTGGCACCAGAAATTCCGACAGGAGTATGGAAATACTTAAGCGCTTCACACTGAAGAAAACCCAGCAGGAAGCAACTCTGGCCAAGTGTCCTTGATCTTTGAAGAACTTCTGGAATTCCTGAACTGGCATGACTCTTTGAACAGATATCAGGTCTTCCCTGCTGTGCTCCTGCAGCCTCTCAGGCTTTGGAGCAGCATCTGACCCCTAATGAAAATGTTAAATGCCATGCGTGTCCATTTTTAAGTGCCAGAAGAGGTGACCAGATTTCTTAGCATGCTAAGGACACCAGCCCCTGAAGGTCATACTATCAGAACAATGTTTGTCCTTGTGGAAAGAGAAGCAAGTGAAAGCAGTGGGGATTACGTACAAAGGGGTCAGAGTCCAGCAGCCATTTTCATAGAACTTTATTACTCTCAACAGTATTACTCTCATCAGATAGTGCCCAGAAATGACATTCTGAACCAATTTCTATCAATCTGTGTGAAAAACTTTCATCTCCCATGATCAGAAAACCACTTATCCTGGGAAGGGTCATGACAAACCAGAGATCATCCCAGAAGTGCAGGGTTTCTCTCACAGGATGAGAGATTCATCGCAGGGCTGCGAAGAATGGGTCAATTTCAAATAACCAATCCAACCTAGACAGCCTGTGTTTGGGAGAAATGCAAAACTGGGGAGAACACGTAAACTCCACACAGACCACATAAACCAACTAGAATTGATGCCAGGGTCTTAGGTTCATGAAGCAGGAACACCGAACAGTATGCAGCTGTCATGAGCTGATATTCCATAGTATTGTGTATTGTTAGTATACACTAATATTAATTGATTTGGCCTTTTAGATTATGGTTACTCAAATGGAAGTCTTTAAACCACCAGCAGCCATGTCACCCTGCAACTCACAACTGGCAACTCACTGAAGCTAAGCAGGTGAGTTGCCTGGTCAGCAACCTGGATGGGAGACCTCCTGGGAAAAACTAAGGTTGCTGCTGGAAGAGGTGTTAGTGGGGCCACCAGGGGGCCCATGTGGGTCACTATACTGTAAACAGGCGCCGTACTTCGGATGAGACGTAAAACCAAGGTCCTGACTCTTTGTGTTCATTAAAAATCCCAGGGTGTGTCTCGGAAAGAGTAGGGGTGTAACCCTGGCGTCCTGGCCAAATTTCCCATTGGCCCTTACCCATCATGGCCTCCTAATAATCCCCATCTATGAATTGGCTTCATTACTCTCCTCCCAACTGATAGCTGAAGTGTGGTGAGCGTTCTGGCACACTATGGCTGCCGTCGCATCATCTAGGTGGATGCTGCACATTGGTGGTGGTGGAGGAGTGTCCCCATTACCTGTAAAGCGCTTTGAGTGGAGTGTCCAGAAAGCAATTTTTATTATTTAGACAGGTTTTCCCTAGGGTTCGCCAGAAAAGAAATGTTATACGGATAATGCTTCGTTCCAAACCCAACAAAAAGTCTTCACCAAAAGTGAAAGCAGAGTTCAAAACAATGAAACAAAAACCTAAGGAGGAAAGAAAAACTTCAATATTGATAGTTCAGCGCACAGCACTGGGAAGGCAAGTACGGATGTGGTTTCTTAATAGACATTTTCAAATGTTTGCAGACTGAGAATGGATAACCACTGTCTTCATCTGTAATTTTGTTTTATAGATTTTTTCCAGGTGAGAACATCCACAAACTCAAAAGAATACTATAAATGCAGGCCTGGTGGTGAAAGAGCAACAGCTCAACACTGCCATCCCTACGCCCCGACATTTTGCCCACAAGAGAGCCAGAAGTAAGCCACTGCTCCACTGGATAAATCACAACCTGTAATAAAGCTTTTTTCGAAACACACAAGTAAAAGTGTTCTAATTCAATAATCGAGATCACACAGTGACCAACAGGAGTTACCAATACCAATGGAGTGAAACCACAGTTCTGGGACTGCACATCAGTCATCACTAAAACAAACAAAAACACATCCTGTATGATTCTCTCGTGTATATAAGTGTATCATTTGTTTGTGGGTTCACCTTTTATATTGTCTACTGCTACAGTATACAACAAATTGCCCCTTGGGGATAATGAAGACTCTCTCTAGAGACAGCCTACAAATTAGAGAGCTGTTTTGCAGGTCTCAATTTCAGGAGGTAAAATTTAAAGTGGTTTTAACAAGGGGGGTAGGTCTAAGGAACCTTTTCTTTGCAGGAAACACACATGAAGGAAAAGTGTATAAGCCTTACACACCACCAACAAAAAACCATCACTGATGGAAAAAAATCACCACAACAGTTTCCCATTTCCATAGTGCTACTACTGTCACTGAAGTGACATTTAGTATTCACTGTATTGCAAAGCCTGTTAACTCACAAATCAGGATCATTTACTGTATATACTTTCGATTATTTTTATTACAAGGGTGATCATGGAAAACAGACTTGTTTTTCAGTAAGGATTTTCACCACTTGAACTTTTAAGACTCCACTGCGGTTTCCTACACTCAATGTTGCTGTAATGAACTAATAATGGAAACCATATGTTGATTCCATGTAAATATAATCAGACCTATGCATCTCCTCAAACTATATGGCAGAGAAAGCACGCTCACACCTTACTCCTCACGTCTTCCTCGTTAACTCCAGCTTTTGAAAAGGTCTCCCAGACAATGCATCTTCATAAAATGGAAGAAACATTGCTGTGAAAATAATAATGATTCTTATTAAACTCGTTGCCAACCGCGGTAATTCCAGGTAATGGGAAGAAACTGTCTTGGGGAAATACGATTCAATTTTGCTACTTCTCCAGCAAAGATGAGTTCACTTTTTCCCTTATTGTGAATCTTCTGCACTAAAATCTAAGTCACCTGCTTCTAGCAAAAGTATTTTGCACAATAAAAATCATGCAAATATTTTGTTAAGCAGCAATAAAATAGTACTTTAATGACCTTGCATATCCTAAATGTAAATATGGAAACTTGATATTATAGTAAATTAAGTTTACTATAATTAAGTAAATATTTAAATCTACAAATGATTAGAATAAGAAATGAACAGGCACCAATTAAATAATTTGATTTTATTTGGAAATGTAACATTATGTTATCGTATGAAAACCCAGCATTTTTCAACAATCATAGTAAAATAATTATCTAATTGATCCCCAACTCCCTGATCTAACCTTGCTCGGTTTTCTGTAAAAAAGAACGCAG